TTGGTTTTTTTGGTTTTTTTGGTCCTCTGCAGACTTCTCTATTTTCGTCGAAAGTCTCAGAAAATTGTTTCTTGTTTTTTTTGATCCTCTGCAGGCTTTTCATGTTCCTTAACTAGAAAATGATTGAAAAACCTATGAATTAAAAACCCACCCCCCATGACAATCCCTTCTGATGATAAAAGAGTCTTCTTCGCCCAAACCAACCACTCCAATGAACCACTTCAACATCTTAGGAACCTCCTATGTGTTTTCTTTCGGTTGATACGTTTCTTTCACAGCAGTTTGCGCCGACCGCTCGTCGCTCGCTTCCTTTTGATGTCAGCGCCGCCCGGTCGACCGCCTCTTTGGACATCGACTTGTCCGGTGAGACTGGCTCGGTAGACATCGGATGTGCAAATGATCTGATGACCGTGACGGCTGGGGGACCGTCGTGACTCATGGTTTTTCTTTCCAAGGATGTACAGTAGCCCAGTGAATGCCCAGTGAATGCCCTGACATGGGTTCAAAGCTTTCTGCCTCGGATCGAAGTCAAGTCTGGCTGGGGACATGTATTGATCATTGTCAGTGTGTTTTTACAATCCAATCGTATTTTGGGCACCTTGATCTGACTCAGAAATAAGCTGACCCGGCACAATATGTTAGCTGACGCTGGCGCGACGGGGTCGCCCCCCACCGTAGCTCAAGCTCAGCTTCGGTGTAGCGGGCTCCCCGGGGGCTCGCCGAGCGCCCGGGGCCATCTAGCCGGACACCGCCGCTGCCGCGCAGCCCCTGATCCTCATCCTCCCTTCATTTGCGGAGACGACCGGACTGGAGACCGCGCGAGGCACCGGAGCCGTCCAGCGCGAAGAGGCTCCAAGGTGCATCTGGGATGCCTCCTTGGCCAGTCGCCCGACCGGACCAGGTCTCGGAGGGGATGAAGGGTTGAAACCAGGGTAGACAAATGATGCGTTGAAAACACTCCCAGCAAGTGTTCTGGCAGGTTGAGTTCCTTTTGGATCTTTTGGTGAGTTCATAGATTTTGGTGACTCATGCCTCTCATGCCCTCTCTCCGGTCGATCAGCCTGGAGATGCTTTCCAAAAAATGCATGCCATGCAGCCATGCGTGTATAGTTGCAACCAACTTGGGACTGCGGGATGCCTTCACACTGCCCAAGGCCCACTTTCATGCTGCCCACACCCAGTCTTTGCTCGGCCCAACAATGTTTCTTTCCACCTCTCCCAGCCCTCGTCGAGACACCATGTCGCCACGCCGTTGCCGCGCAGCTTCGGCCGCGTGCGCCACGTCGCAGCTACGACCGCCAGGGTGTTGGTCACTCCGCAGGGAAGAGGCCTCTGAAGAGCGCCGGAAAAGACGTCGCAGCTTGGCTGGATGAAACGTCCCAAACCGTCTCAGTTTACACAATGTGTGTACCCTTGAACATGGATACACTTCTACAATAGTACCATATATTAAATCTATATATAAATATAAAGGTCTCTCAAGATCAACCCATCTGCAGCATCCAAGTCAACTCTGAGACTGGTGAATTGGGGAAGGCAGGGTAATCAAGAAAACAATCAAAACCATCAAAGCTAGCCATGTCATGACCCCACATGATCCACCCAAACTGTCTAAATGGATCTCACATGATCCAACCATCAGATATGTCAAATCTTTTTCAGTGAACCCAAACAACTGACCACCAAGAATCCATCAATATAAATGAAATGTCCGTCATCATCCTTGGCCCAAAAAATCAGCTACTCGTTTTCGCCTTTCAGTTTGGCTTGCCAGCGGTGGAGCTGCTTCAAGAAGCCGTCGTTGGGCCTGATGAAGGGCCGGGCCTGGCGACGAGGACGTGAACCGATGGCCGCCTACACGCGCGCAACAAACACCGTGGGTGGCACATCCCAGTGGCGCATTTGATGCATGATTGATGGAGGAAACGTGTGCGACAGGCCTCATGCGACAGGCCCTCTCAGAGTGGTATTTACAGGGGATCGTGGGTGTTCTTTCAGCAGGTACCGCTACTGTATGTGTCGGGTATGCGGCGTGGCGGTGGGGGTTGGGGGGCATGGGTAATAACAATCGGTGGACGCGCTACGCCAGGACTATCCTTCCTGCGGTATGGACAATTCACGCACTACGACGGTGGTATACTTCCTGCCGTAAGAACAATCGGTTCAAGTGCTACGCCTTCCGGCGATGTTCTCATTTTCCAGAAGGAGGGGGTTCTGTTCGACGTGTTCAGATCTTTCCGGGACAATCATGTGAGAAGAAACAAGACGAGATTCCGCGGCATGTTGGGAATGGGGACCAAGAAACAGCTGTTCCATTCCCATCTTCACCGCCTCCTTCACCAGGGCATAAGCCTCCTCCACCTCCAGATTCCGTGTGGCCATGACCAATGCCTCGCCCAACGGACCCGGCCACGACCCGGCTCACAGGGCACAGGGCGACCCAGGAGAGGTAGATTTATGTGGAGAGAACTTCCCGGCCACCAATGATCCCCAGTACACCCCCGTGAAAAAAGCAAACCCCGGAGGTACTGGATTCCCCATGTGTACCTGTGATTTTGGCAGAAGTTCACCATCAATCAATGCACCTCAGCCACCTCAGCCACATCGTGAAAATCTCCAACAACTGCATCCACCTCGCCACCTTCTAAGACCTCTACGATCACCCTCAAAGCCCAACAAAACCCATCAGCCCAAGCGGCGATGGCAAAGGTGGCTGAGCGCGAGCGCCCCTGAGCGCAGTTCACCATCACCTTGAGGCACTGGGCGGCGCGTTGGGGCAGTGCCGCACCGACTGCGTCAGGAAGGGAGGTGACAAGTTCCCCGACTGGACATGGATGCTTGAGATCCTGAAAACAAGAACCACTGCTTAGGGATAAACACTCTGCCTCTTATAATTACATCTTTGAGTCTTTGAGACTAGATCACAACTGGCACAAAAGAGTGTCATGGCATGAACTGCCTCAAGTGGCGCCCGTCTGAAGCCAGTACTGGTTAAATATTGTTTGAAGGCTGAACGGCAGTATCCACTTAACTTTGATAGGGTCCCTCCGACATTAAAACTAAAATATCCAAAGTAGATGGAAACAATGTCTATTTAGGACCGCGGTGACCATGCTGGGTGTTATCCACATGATCTCTTAATTATGGTACATTCCGAGATATTCCGAGTACATGTTTGTTGAAAAGAGGTTTGTCATCTCTACCTATCTTTGGGTGAGCATCTGCGCTTTCTTCACCTGGGCATTCACCAACTCTGAGCCTGAATATCACAGCCCACCCTGGCCGCCATGTTGCCATCTTGCCCTGTTGTTGCTGCTCTTTGGCCCAGCGCAAAGCATCCAAGAGTGTCTCCAAGGCAGAAGCCTCCTGTCTGTGCGGAGAATCGAGATTTATGGAGACGTCCGACCGAAATCACATCGTTTGGGTTTAAAATCTGTGAGGTGTTCAATCGCCTCTACGAAAATCAATCTTGCAGGTTAACTACTTAATAGGACTCCAAGGCGGATTACATTCACCATTTCGCTACTGCCCAATGCTCAACATGAAATTCGCTGCAAAGGCTCCCTTAGATCTTCCATAAGATTTAGAATGGCCAAGTGTCAACTCCCTCAAGCTTCCTAGGACCTCTTGGGCCACGATGCAACGAAGCTTGGCAAGTTGGCTGTGAAGAGAGTGCATAAATATATATCATACCTGGAAAGGCGTATGAACACTTTTTTTTTGTGCGAAGACCGTATTTGGACAGAATTTATCGTATGGACATTTTAATTAACGAATTAGCGTATTTAGCCGTATTGACAAAAAAACAATACCGTACAAAAGCATACCCATATGAAACCCAAACTTTATCAACATGTTATTGTCAAAAACCCAAACAATTATATTGATAAAACCCAATCAAACTCAATATTCGGAGGAATTCCAGAAAATTTGTCCAATTTGACAAAAAAGACCGGATGCACGGATTTTTTGTGCGAACGTGTTTGAACAAAAAAAGATCCACATTTGGATTCCCTGGTATGTATATATATATATATATGAGTAGAGGGCATGTCCCAGGTTCTCAAATCAACCTACACCACCGAACCTGCATCTTTTGGGCTTTTGACATTTTTGCAAAAAGCTCCGAAAGACAGCACCGGCGCCTCAACCCCACCGTCCAACTGGCGCTCCGCCCACTCAGCACTGTCCTGCGATGAAAAACAAGTTCAGACTTGTTGGTCTCAGGAACAAATAGAGCCAAAAAGTCTGAACACTATCAGGTTCAAGAGGTTCCAAAGAAAGCCAAAGCCAAAGTGCTTTTTTTTTGTTGAGCCACAATCAGGAGCCTTCAGGCCACATGACCACCCCAAATCAGCTCATTCCGCGACAGAGGGTTGGTCGCAAACCACCCCGGAAGGTGGTCTTCGTCCAGAAAGAAGGTGGAGTGGATGATGCAGCGCTTCCTGCAGAGTCCTTTTTCTCCTGGCTTTCAGGATATGAGTCTCATAGGTCACCCATGAACATATGAAACCACAAAGAATATACACATGTTTGCCTGCAGCTTCTACATTGAGGTCAAAGGCATGCTTACTAGAATCTACCAAGAATCAGCACTCTGACAGCTTGGAGTCCCTCATGTGGAAGGAATTACAGTACATCATAACATGTCATATATAACCCGTCACAATTCACGAGAAAGTCAATGGCATTGATGCCAGTCTGGGTCGGTTCCTATGCAGTCTTGCAATCTGGGTGGACTCTTCTTTCTTGCGCTTGTTGCACTTGTAAGGGTAGCCTCATGTCCTCGATGTTCTCTATTTTGTCCTGTGATCTGTTCCTAAGGTTGTTCTTGTGTGCAAATAATGTATTCCTATGTGATGCATTATGTTTAGCTATGTTGGTTCTATGCGGTTCTAGTTGTTTTCCATCTTTTCTACGGTGTTCTAAATGCATTGTCTTTGCTCGTCAGTGTTTCTATAGTGATTTCTTGTGTTCATGTTTTTCTTCGATGTTTACGTCTTCCCTCCACTGTTTGCTATGTTCATCCTATGCTGTTGATCTATGTTTTCATGTGTCTCTTGCTATTCATTATAAGCTTCGGACCCACGGGTCGCCCGCTGGACGTGGACCGGACCCCCAATTCTCCTCCCACTCCAGGTCCAGCAGTCGCTGGGTGGCACGAAAGCCTTCCATGACCGTCCTGGGCGGTCGTGACCGGTGGTCTGATCGTCCGGTGGTCTGATCGTCCGCAAGTCTGTGTTCGAGAGTGGAAGGTGGTGAAGAACTCGGTCCTTTTGGTCGAACGGAACTGAAGCAACAGAGCCTTCGGATCGAAAGAGATGCCATCATCAAGTGCCTTTAGTAAGGTGTCCAATATGGTCAATTGTCTACTAATTGTCTATTGGGGACTTTAGGGGGGCCCATGCTTCGCTGAAAGCATGCATCGAATGCAACACCCTTCTAGTTGGTTTTGTGTGCAAAGTACTGAACATCCTGTAACTGCGGCCCGCCATGGCTTGCTTATATATGTTACTACCCTTTCTTCAAGTAGATATTGACATTTGGCACAATAAGACATGAAGACATGTTTTCCCTGGCTCCCAATCAAAACGCCCATGAAGTTTCATGAAGTACCCTACTGTCATAGACTGCCCATATCTTCCTCAATTGGCCAAAAGCCAAACGATGCAAATCGGCGCTTTCATTCTTTTATGTGTCGCCTTCGTTTCTGTTCTCCCCGATCGATTCTTCGGACAGGCGAGCCAACGGGCTCGCTCCTAGGAACAAGTGCATCGCTTCTAGTAACAAGTGCCTTACTAGTAGTAACAAGGTTCGCTACTAGGAACAAGTGCATCGCTCCTGGTCTGCGGGAGGAAGTCATGGAGTTTCGTCCCCGCGCAGTTCCTCGGCGAAACCCAAAGGCCACGATGCGAAGGCCGCAGTTGGTGCCAACATGTCTGCTTCGACCTGTTTCAAACACATGTTATTGGATGTTTTTGCTGTTTGACCATTTCTGGTTCATGCTACGGAGCTAACAACAAGAGTACATGCTTATGAAGAGTACATCCTCCTGATTATACTGATGACATCCGATGACAATGAGTTCTTCACACCCACAACCCTGTCTTCAAGAAAGCTCAGTGGTTTCCGAGGGCTCACATGCAGTCTCCTCGGCATCTCTCTCTCTCTCTCTCTGTCTTTCTTTCAGGTGCATGCGACCGCTCGCTTCTGCGGTCCTTTCGCATCGAGTTTCGAGTGACGGTTCGCTTCTGCAGCATGGTAAAACCAACCGCACCAAAACATCTAAGAAACAACCTATATAAGTCTGTGTCAGCAAACTTAAGACTTCTAGAACTTTGTTTAAAATGTATTTCTCATGGCCCAAAGCCGCCCAAAGCTGGGCCGCAAAGGCTGGCTGTCGTCTACCATGCATGTAGCTTTGGGAACCCAAAGCAAAGACTAGTGATCTGGCCTGAAGCGTTGGAATCACATGATCTGTGGAAATTAAAACTGATTTCCTGCGGATGCCCTGTTCGCGTGTGCTGGCTTGGCTTCTACCGGCTGTCGCTCTCACAGTTCGGAAAGCCAGTGAAACGTTGGTCTCATCATTTTTCGCTGTGAAAAGTTGGAACCTTACCCTGAAAGAAGCGGTGCTGTTCGATGCTTTAGGAAGGCATGCAGAATCTCTTCTTGCCGCCCATGGCCGAAAAACCTGCAGATCTGAGTGAACACCACATGGCCCAAGAGGTTCTGTTTTGGGGATGGGGCATCTTCCCGAAGATCCGGAGTTGTACTGCCATTGGTCCAAAAGGTCAACCGGAACCCGGTCCCGGAATGACGTCGATCTGATCGGAGAGTCAAAGACTATACAGTAAAACAACTGACTGGTGCTTAGTAGGAAATAATGAGCCCCCAATAATTTGGATCCATTCCCTCATGCCATGCTAAGCACCAGTCAGACAATGGTCAATGGTCTGACGATTGCGACCTGAAAGGGAACGTCCTCAACTTAAGTAAAAGTAGGGTCTTTGGACTGCTGGGGAAGGGGGTCTTCACGGTAGATGCGCTGCTGGAAAGGCCGTCCATTGAACGGTCTCAACATCATCCAGCAAAACCGGACCCCCAAGCCACATGAGCCGAGCATCACCACCACAACAGCGGGGTCTTCCTGGCAAAGCAAAGCAGCGAAAGGCAGGAGATCTGAATGAGCGTGGGTAGATGTAAGGAGAGAATAGGAATCCTGGAATCCTGCGTCCAAGGATCCTTGGACGCGGGGTTCAGTAGGAGTCTCTGAAGGCAAGATCGTTTGTGTTTTAAATCTGTGAGGGGGCGATGTAAATTCCAGGAGCCGCAGTGCATCATCTCTGCCGGTTCCAGGCTCAACACACCAAGCCGTTGTGCTCATGGTCCCCTCCGTAGAAGGCACCCGGCCACCGGAGGTGCTGGTGTGGCAGAACCACGGCCTGGGCCAGTCGGAGCGCCGCGTTGAAGGAGCCCAGCGCCAGTTCTCCTCCCAGTGCCGCGCCGGAGTCACAAAGACTCCGGGGCCATGTGGGTGTATGTTAAGAGGAAGACCCCGTGGCCCTGGCTGGGTAGACCATGGTACTGGTCTATCTGTCTATCTTCCTTCCAAGGGGTCGGTGGTTGTCTGTGGTCATACTCAACAAGTCTGACATGGCGGCCATATCGACAGCCGTGTCGCTGGCAGCCGCTTCCCAAAAGGTCGCTGTTGGGCTCACGGTGCCAGCCATGTCCCGAAAGGACCAATCTCTAGGCCCGTCCTGCAATCACCACACTGGGCGTTTGGTCGTCGGTGACGTTGAGAATCTCAGTTGATTTGGGGCCGTCGCGCCGTCGAGCGAATTGGATGGGATTAACTGTGTGCCTAAGGGAATCCTTAGTAGTCTATACAAGGACAAGGAATTAACTGGGGCTTCGAGTGCTCTAGATATCTCACGATATCTCTAGCTTAGATGTTTTTGGTTGGGGTCAGTGCGGCTTGGATTGGGTGCCAGACTCTGATGGCAGAAATCTCCGCATGCGTCTCGTGCTTGCTTTCAACTCGAACGGTGGAATGCAACAAATGATTGCAGAAAGGCCTTTTGAAAGCCCTTCTGATCCCGATTTAAGATCTGGGCATGACAATTTCATCCATTACTCATTACTCTCCCTACAACAGTGATGGAAGTGGACAATTCCCTCTTGGACTTCGGAAAAGCGTTGTCCAACGGGGACAGGACGTTCCACGTAACCATGATTGGAGGAGGAGCAACATCCCCACACCGCCTAAGTGTTTGTTTCCCTCCTGAGCGCGAGTAGCGGACATGAAAGATGCATCATCAACTTCTCCTGACAGCAGTGTGGGTGGACGCCTGAGAATCTGAAGACTTGCATTTCACCCAGAATTATCTGGTCTAAGTTTGCGGCTTTACCGTTCAAAGCATGTTTTAACAGCATTGACTGTTCCATCTCTGTAGGTCAGTGAGGCTCAACCCTGAACATGATCATTAGTCAGCACCAGTGCCCATCAACAGTGTAGATAGTTTGTTTTAAACGAACACGACATTGTTGAAGGTTCATAGGTTCAATAAGCTGGACCAAATCTATTGAACATCCTTTCCATGTATTCCTTCCTTTGCCCTGGAACACGCCGAAGCCTGCCGCGCCTCGCGCATGCGCGAGCACATCCGCGCCGCACGTGGCACAGCGGCGAGCGGTGGGCTTGGCCAAGGGCTTGCGGAGCTCAAAAGGGTGGCCCTGGCCCGCCTGCCGTGGCGAATGGAGATGAAGAATGCATCCCCCACCGTGGCAACCCGCAGGAATTGTAATCCTGCGACACTTCAGGGTGTAGAGAAAAGTTGCAAGACTATACTTACAAGAAAAGTGGTCTACATTCGGAAACGTTGCGGGTGCACAGCCCGCCACTATCAATGGGAAATGTTGGCCGATTTCTTGCGAGCCCGTCTTTTTCAGTCTTCCACTCTTCACACCTAAATTCAATGAGGAAGAAGGACGATTCAACCAAAGGTGGCAAGACTCTTGGTTCACAACATGGATAGTTTCAGGGTGTGGAACAGAAGTCTTTTGCTGTGGTGGTTGACCAGCTTCCCTATCTAACTCTATGAGCTTTTGGGGAGGGTCCTCCCCTTCTCACTACCCTCGTTCACCGCTTTTTCAGGGTCGCCAGGCCGGCGGCCGCAAGGTGTCTGCCAAGTTCTTAGACAACTTCATCCTATGATCAAGTATGAACTTAGCAAACATTCAGAAGACATATACACGGTTCTTTCTTTGAATAGGAATTTGATTCAGAAACAACAACATTCAGAAGTAGCTACTTAGTTTCTGTATGTTTCTGTCGCTTTGGCGGATCGGAAAGCAACCTCGATCGCTCGGCCTCCTCCCACCGATTCTCTCCCAAAAAGCAACCGGCCTCGCCAAACTGAGCACGGTCGCAGGCCATGGGCACATTGCGTGGGTTGCATGAGTTGCATGGTCTTGCTTTCCAGTGTCAGTAGAGAACCAACTCCATGAACTGCCAAGTGTAGTCAGTGTAGTCCTTGAAGTAAGAAAAACTGACAAGGCCACAGGAGAAGGCCACAGACACCTACAAAAAAGAGCAAAAAACAAGCTGCAAATATATACCTACAATACATACCATGAGGATCCCTGGAGCAAAAGGGCGGCCGAGGGGGGGGCCCTTTTAAGGTCGAAAGCTTTCGGTTCAGCAACCGGTTCATTGGCCACATGAGGTGCCTCCCAGAAGGCTGTAAGGCTATATACCTCTTAAAGGTGGCATAGCCTCACCAGGCAGCTGAAGTGAACCACCAGGCAGCCAAGGGTTTCGGACACACGTGCAGCGTGTTGATGCATCCAGGAACCTGCCACCCTCGGAAGGAACAGGCGATTCAACGGACAGTGGCGCAACATCGGTGATGCCTCCGGCTTCCCTTGGCACATGCATGCACAAGCGAGTCAAATCCCTCAGACCCAACGAGGATCCTTGGCCGATCCGTGGCTCTGAAGCAGTGTAGGCAGTGTTTCACAAGGATTCAAAGCCTGAAGCGAAGAATGAGATTCGGGTGCACCAGTTGATGGATGATCTGCTAGCAATACTTTCCCGACACATCAATGGCGGTTGGACGCTGTCTCACAGCTAAGTCACATGCTTCAGAGTCACGTGATTCGCCTCAGCTAGTAAAGGCGAAAGAAAAAGCCCTTCATTGGTTGTCTCGGATGAACCTAATGTTTTCGGATATGTCAGGAGTGGCTCCGCCCACTCTGTGGGGGTGTGCAAAAAAAGAACAGCAAAATTCCAAGTCTGACACTCGCCAAAGCAAGCAACCCCAACACCCACACGATCAGCTGACTCCCGCCATTTCAAGTCAAAAGCAAACAAATGCAAACAATCGCACCAGGATGGCTGAATAACGACAAAGTAAACATCAAAAGCACAAAAACAACAGCAGTCACAGGCAAGCATTTTGCGCTTGACCAAGGCAATGTGAAGTCTCAAGTATGGTTGTCCTCAGCTAGTAAT